GCCGGGTTACAGTAATAAGATATTACAGGGGTAATAAGACACTCTAAATAAAGATATTAACAGGGAAATAAGACACTCGGGAGCCGGGTTACTGTAATAAGATATTACAGGGGGAATAAGACACTCAGGAGCCGGGTTACAGTAATAAGATATTACAGGGGGAATAAGACACTCGGGAGCCGGGTTACCGTAATAAGATATTACAGGGGGAATAAGACACTCGGGAGCCGGGTTACCGTAATAAGATATTACAGGGGGAATAAGACACTCGGGAGCCGGGTTACAGTAATAAGATATTACAGGGGGAATAAGACACTCAGGAGCCGGGTTACTGTAATAAGATATTACAGGGGAATAAGACACTCGGGAGCCGGGTTACCGTAATAAGATATTACAGGGGAATAAGACACTCGGGAGCCGGGTTACCGTAATAAGATATTACAGGGGGAATAAGACACTCGGGAGCCGGGTTACAGTAATAAGATATTACAGGGGGAATAAGACACTCGGGAGCCGGGTTACCGTAATAAGATATTACAGGGGGAATAAGACACTCGTGAGCCGGGTTACTGTATTAAGATATTACAGGGGGAATAAGACACTCGGGAGCCGGGGTACTGTAATAAGATATTACAGGGGAATAAGACACTCGGGAGCCGGGTTACCGTAATAAGATATTACAGGGGAATAAGACACTCGGGAGCCGGGTTACCGTAATAAGATATTACAGGGGAATAAGACACTCGGGAGCCGGGTTACCGTAATAAGATATTACAGGGGGAATAAGACACTCGGGAGCCGGGTTACTGTAATAAGATATTACAGGGGAATAAGACACTCGGGAGCCGGGTTACCGTAATAAGATATTACAGGGGGAATAAGACACTCGGGAGCCGGGTTACTGTAATAAGATATTACAGGGGGAATAAGACACTCGGGAGCCGGGTTACCGTAATAAGATATTACAGGGGAATAAGACACTCGGGAGCCGGGTTACAGTAATAAGATATTACAGGGGAATAAGACACTCGGGAGCCGGGTTACCGTAATAAGATATTACAGGGGTAATAAGACACACTCTAATAAGATATTACAGGGGGAATAAGACACTCTAATAAGATATTACAGGGGGAATAAGACACTCAGGAGCCGGGTTACTGTAATAAGATATTACAGGGGGAATAAGACACTCGGGAGCCGGGTTACTGTAACAAGATATTACAGGGGAATAAGACACTCGGGAGCCGGGTTACTGTAATAAGATATTACAGGGGGAATAAGACACTCAGGAGCCGGGTTACCGTAATAAAATATTACAGGGGAATAAGACACTCGGGAGCCGGGTTACAGTAATAAGATATTACAGGGGGAATAAGACACTCGGGAGCCGGGTTACTGTAATAAGATATTACAGGGGGAATAAGACACTCGGGAGCCGGGTTACTGTAATAAGATATTACAGGGGGAATAAAACACTCGGGAGCCGGGTTACCGTAATAAGATATTACAGGGGGAATAAGACACTCGGGAGCCGGGTTACTGTATTAAGATATTACAGGAGGAATAAGACACTCGGGAGCCGGGTTACTGTATTAAGATATTACAGGAGGAATAAGACACTCGGGAGCCGGGTTACTGTATTAAGATATTACAGGAGGAATAAGACACTCGGGAGCCGGGTTACTGTAATAAGATATTACAGGGTAATAAGACACTCAGGAGCCGGGTTACTGTAATAAGATATTACAGGGTAATAAGACACTCGGGAGTCGGGTTACTGTAATAAGATATTACAGGGTAATAAGACACTCGGGAGCCGGGTTACTGTAATAAGATATTACAGGGTAATAAGACACTCGGGAGCCGGGTTACTGTAATAAGATATTACAGGGGGAATAAGACACTCAGGAGCCGGGTTACTGTAATAAGATATTACAGGGGGAATAAGACACTCGGGAGCCGGGTTACTGTAACAAGATATTACAGGGGAATAAGACACTCGGGAGCCGGGTTACCGTAATAAGATATTACAGGGGGAATAAGACACTCAGGAGCCGGGTTACCGTAATAAGATATTACAGGGGGAATAAGACACTCAGGAGCCGGGTTACCGTAATAAAATATTACAGGGGAATAAGACACTCGGGAGCCGGGTTACTGTAATAAGATATTACAGGGGGAATAAGACACTCGGGAGACGGGTTACTGTAATAAGATATTACAGGGGGAATAAAACACTCGGGAGCCGGGTTACCGTAATAAGATATTACAGGGGGAATAAGACACTCTAATAAGATATTACAGGGGGAATAAGACACTCGGGAGCCGGGTTACTGTAATAAGATATTACGGGGGGAATAAGACACTCGGGAGCCGGGTTACAGTAATAAGATATTACAGGGGGAATAAGACACTCGGGAGCCGGGTTACTGTAATAAGATATTACAGGGGGAATAAGACACTCGGGAGCCGGGTTACCGTAATAAGATATTACAGGGGGAATAAGACACTCGGGGGCCGGGTTACCGTAATAAGATATTACAGGGGGAATAAGACACTCGGGAGCCGGGTTACTGTAATAAGATATTACAGGGTAAGAAGACACTCGGGAGCCGGGTTACTGTAATAAGATATTACAGGGTAATAAGACACTCGGGAGCCGGGCTACTGTAATAAGATATTACAGGGGTAATAAGACACTCGGGAGCCGGGTTGCCGTAATAAGATATTACAGGGTAATAAGACACTCGGGAGCCGGGTTACTGTAATAAGATATTACAGGGGAATAAGACACTCGGGAGCCGGGTTACCGTAATAAGATATTACAGGGGTAATAAGACACTCGGGAGCCGGGTTACCGTAATAAGATATTACAGGGGGAATAAGACACTCGGGAGCCGGGTTACCGTAATAAGATATTACAGGGGAATAAGACACTCGGGAGCCGGGTTACAGTAATAAGATATTACAGGGGTAATAAGACACTCTAATAAGATATTACAGGGGGAATAAGACACTCAGGAGCCGGGTTACCGTAATAAGATATTACAGGGGAATAAGACACTCGGGAGCCGGGTTACAGTAATAAGATATTACAGGGGGAATAAGACACTCAGGAGCCGGGTTACCGTTATAAAATATTACAGGGGGAATAAGACACTCGGGAGCCGGGTTACTGTAATAAGATATTACAGGGGAATAAGACACTCGGGAGCCGGGTTACCGTAATAAGATATTACAGGGGAATAAGACACTCGGGAGCCGGGTTACAGTAATAAGATATTACAGGGGTAATAAGACACTCTAATAAGATATTACAGGGGGAATAAGACACTCTAATAAGATATTACAGGGGGAATAAGACACTCTAATAAGATATTACAGGGGGAATAAGACACTCAGGAGCCGGGTTACTGTAATAAGATATTACAGGGGAATAAGACACTCGGGAGCCGGGTTACTGTAATAAGATATTACAGGGGAATAAGACACTCAGGCCGGGTTACCGTAATAAGATATTACAGGGGGAATAAGACACTCAGGAGCCGGGTTACCGTAATAAAATATTACAGGGGAATAAGACACTCGGGAGCCGGGTTACAGTAATAAGATATTACAGGGGGAATAAGACACTCGGGAGCCGGGTTACTGTAATAAGATATTACAGGGGTAATAAGACACTCGGGAGCCGGGTTACTGTAATAAGATATTACAGGGGGAATAAGACACTCGGGAGCCGGGTTACCGTAATAAGATATTACAGGGGGAATAAGACACTCGGGAGCCGGGTTACTGTAAAAAAATATTACAGGGGTAAAAAGACACTCGGGAGCCGGGTTACCGTAATAAGATATTACAGGGGGAATAAGACACTCGGGAGCCGGGTTACCGTAATAAGATATTACAGGGTAATAAGACACTCGGGAGCCGGGTTACCGTAATAAGATATTACAGGGTAATAAGACACTCAGGAGCCGGGTTACTGTAATAAGATATTACAGGGTAATAAGACACTCGGGAGCCGGGTTACTGTAATAAGATATTACAGGGGAATAAGACACTCAGAAGCCGGGTTACTGTAAAAAAATATTACAGGGGTAAAAAGACACTCGGGAGCCGGGTTACCGTAATAAGATATTACAGGGGGAATAAGACACTCGGGAGCCGGGTTACTGTAATAAGATATTACAGGGGAATAAGACACTCGGGAGCCAGGTTACTGTAATAAGATATTACGGGGGGAATAAGACACTCGGGAGCCGGGTTACTGTAATAAGATATTACAGGGGTAATAAGACACTCGGGAGCCGGGTTACCGTAATAAGATATTACAGGGGGAATAAGACACTCGGGAGCCGGGTTACTGTAATAAGATATTACAGGGGAATAAGACACTCGGGAGCCAGGTTACTGTAATAAGATATTACGGGGGGAATAAGACACTCGGGAGCCGGGTTACTGTAATAAGATATTACAGGGGTAATAAGACACTCGGGAGCCGGGTTACCGTTATAAGATATTACAGGGGTAATAAGACACTCGGGAGCCGGGTTACCGTAATAAGATATTACAGGGGGAACAAGACACTCAGGAGCCGGGTTACTGTAATAAGATATTACAGGGGAATAAGACACTCAGGAGCCGGGTTACTGTAATAAGATATTACAGGGTAATAAGACACTCGGGAGCCGGGTTACTGTAATAAGATATTATAGGGGTAATAAGACACTCGGGAGCCGGGTTACTGTAATAAGATATTACAGGGGTAATAAGACACTCGGGAGCCGGGTTACTGTAATAAGATATTACGGGGGGAATAAGACACTCGGGAGCCGGGTTACTGTAATAAGATATTACAGGGGTAATAAGACACTCGGGAGCCGGGTTACTGTAATAAGATATTACAGGGGGATTAGGACACTCGGGAGCCGGGTTACTGTAATAAGACACTCAGGAGCTGGGTACAGACTATAATAGTAGAGAGAAAAGCCAAAATGCACCTGATTGTATCTTCCATGTCCCTTAAAGATTTGGATGCGCTTTCATACTCATTACGAGCTGCCTCGGCGGCTGTGATTAAAAAAAAAAAAAACAACTTTGAAAATTAGTAATTTTGGAGATTGGGATAAACAGATATACACTGGAATTATTCAAAGATGCTCACAATCTATTAATTGCTGCTGGGTTGTGTCATCATATGGTGGCATCTCAGACTCCTCCCCTTGAGATTTTCCAGGTGGAGCCTGTAATGAAGACAATCAATTTCTTTTTACATTAGTGAATATTTCCAAACTCTTAGCTATGGCTCTAAATCGCAACACTCTGATGTACCTGACAATTACTCCTAAAATTTTCCTTGACATACAGGGTCTTGTGACTGAATCCTAGCAATCAGCCAGCTTTTTTCATGTTTAAAAGACATGTTTATCAGCAATCCACCAAGAGACTGGGCCAGCCCTTTCTGCCCTCTTCACAGCCCAACTCTCCACTGAATGCTGGAGGGGCAGAGCAGAGAGCCAGCGACTGAGTCATGGCTCTCTGCTCAGAGCAGATGGGAGAACTGAGCAGCCAGCGGTGTTTGATCACTGCAGAGCCAGCAGGGGACAGATGCTGCATCTACCTAGGTGAGTATAAATGTTTCTCTATACGCCATACTTCTCTTTTTGACAGACAGGATCTGTGACTTCTATTGGGCTAGATGAAAGCTTACATTACTGGCAATGACCAAGTTGTTACAAATAGCTGAGGTCATAAAGACAAGGTAAAAGTCACTTGAACAAAAAAAAAACAAAAACAAAAAAACAAAAAGAAAACAAACATTGGACTGCCATATTTCTTTCAAGACTTTTCCAAGCAAAAAAAAAAAAAAAATTTCTACCAAAATCACTGTTAGGTATAGGCTCTCTTGGTGTAAAAAAAAAAAAAAAAAAAAAAAAAAAGGGATTGAAGCCAAAGTCAGATTTACTTTTGCAGCACGAAGGACATTTTCTCATCCGAGTCAGACGATAATGCTTCTCAGCCATTCAGAGGAAGTGTTGTATTTTTTTTTTTTTTCTAAGCAATGAACAAGGCTTCTTCGGATTGGCTGAGATGAAGAAGTAGGTGGATGCTGCCATGATCTTCCCCCCCAACTAATAAGGGCAAGTTTTGTATTAATTGATAAAAACCTTCATCTGAATGGCTGAGAAGCACTCAGCCCTACTCAAATTTGCTCCAGCAGCCAGTATTGCTGCAGAACACAACGCTACATACAGTGATTATGGGTGATGCTACTACAGTATGATACCACAGCAGAATAATAGTCATGTGAATAGCTCATTTGGCCCAAGCAAACTATTTAAAAAGTGACAGAAAACCTGGACTACGGCTTTAAAGTTTACCCTGTGGTCTTCATTGAAATCATCGTTGTCGTCAACATCATCCTCGTCATCTCCTCCATCCTCTCCATTATCATCCCCATCCTCATGGGGAATTTCTGAATGAGACTCTGTTCTCTCTTCTATAGGAGGTGGTGAAGAGGCGTCACTCTGTAACAAAGAGGTATAAAAAGCTCAGATGTTAATATGTCTTAAAATGAAAAATCAGAGGCATAATAAAAAAAAAAAAAAATGAGAGATACAGATATATAGAGATTATATATATATATATATATATAAAATATATATATATATATATATATATATATAAATCTCAATATATAATCTCAATCAGTTAAAACAAAATTCAGCTGGGACACAGACCGCAATTAAAACCAACAGAAGTTCTAACCCTTTTACACACATTATCCAAAATGTAGGGTTTGCCTCAAGTTGGGCTTTTAAGGAACATATACTGAAAGAAATATGTTGGCTGAAATTTTCAATCTATCTTTCTGAAAAAATTAATTGCATGGCTGTCATGCTAATGCCTAGTACACATGATCAGATAATCGGACAACTGGTCGTTCATTTTCTATGAGACTAGCAGGCAACAAAAAAATGAAGAGGTTAATTATTATACAGTATTTATAAAGCGCCAATAGTTCGCTCAGCGCTGTACATTACAGGGGGACAGAACATGTGACAGAACAATACCAATACAATGCAAAACATGAGGGGATTGAGGGCCCTGCTCTTTCGAGCTTACAATCTAGGAGGGAGGGGATGGTGGCACAGGAGGAGATAGCTGTGGGAGATGGAGTGGTAGGAAGAGTGGAGGAGGTCGGCAAGTTAGCAGGGGGTGGGGTAGGCTTCCCTGAAGAGATGGGTTTTCAGGGTGCGCCTAAAGGAGAGGAGAGTAGGTGATAATCTGATGGGTTGGGGCAGGGAATGCCAGAGGATGGGTGACACCCTGGAGAAGTCCTGGAGGCGGGCATGGGAGGAGGAGACCAGGGAACTAGAGAGAAGGAGGTCTTGTGAGGAGCGGAGTGTGCGTGCTGGGTGGTATTTGGATATTAGGTCAGTGATGTAGTTCGGGGCAGTATGGTGGACAGCTTTGTACGTCAGCGTTAGGATTTTGAATTTGATCCGTTGCGCAATCGGAAGCCAGTGGAGGGATTGGTAGAGGGGGGGTGGCGGAGATGGAGCGGTTGGAAAGGTGAATGAGTCTGGCAGCCGTATTCAGGATCGACTGAAGCGGGGATAGCCAGCGGCGAGGCAGGCCAGTGAGGAGGGAGTTGCAGTAGTCGAGTCGTGATATGATGAGGGAGTGGATGAGCTGTTTAGTGGTTTCTGGGGTTAGGAACGTGCGGATTTTGGCGATGTTGCGGAGGTGGAGTCTGCATTAGTTTGTTATAGATTGGACTTGGGGCTGGAAGGATAGGTTGGAGTCCAGAATGACACCAAGTACTCTGACCTGCGGGGCGGGTTTGATGGTGGCGTTGTTGGATGTGACGGAGAAGTCAATGGGGGGTGGTGTGCGGGCTGGGGGGGAAGACAAGAAACTCAGTTTTGGAGAGGTTCAGTTTAAGGAAGTGGAGCGACATCCAGTCAGATATGTCGCTCAGTAGGTGTGTGATTCGGGTGGAGACTGAGGTGGTGAGGTGAGGGGTAGAGAGATAGATTTGTGTGTCGTCGGCATAGAGGTGGTAGTTGAAGCCGTGAGAGTGTATGAGTTGGCCAAGGGAGGAGGTGTAGATGGAGAAGAGAATAATAGAATTACAAAAATTCTAATATGACAGAATACAACTTCGGAAGTGATATAATGTATTTTTTTATTTCTGAGCATGTGTGGTCTTGGTCTCTCAATTTTTTTTAAGACAAATACCGTACTGAACAAAAATTGTTTACACGGTTATGAGAAAAACTTTCGTGCTTGTTCCTTCAGATATTGTCACATGAACAGTCGTGATTAGCTGTTAATAGCTGTGTACTAATGAACAGATTATCATGTGATCACTCGGAAAGAGTTTTTGTCATCCGATTTTCTGATCGTGTGTATGCGGTATTAGCCAATGTGTTCAATACTCTGAGTCACTGACTATGAACAAGCACCTTGAGTACACAAGCTGCCTTCAGAGGCTGGACATGCGATCTGTAAGGTCTTTTTGGAAAGCATTCATCAAGGCCAACCAATCAGTCTTTGGCTGAAAAGTAAAACCTCCCCATTGGTAAAGATTCCATGACCAACGCCTTTTCAATGATACAATGAGGGGAGCCTGGATATTTTTTTTTTTTTTGTCGAAACAGGGAAGCTTTTTGGACATTGGGGTGGATTTCAAAAACTGCACCATGACCACACTGCTCTTGTAAAAACAAAAAAACAAAAAAAAAAACCACATAAAACAAAAAAAAAAAAAAAAAAAAAAAACACACTTGGAAATGTATAACGCACAACATGGTGCTTTACACATGTACTTCGTACCTCAACAGAACTAGATGAAAGTTCTGTAAACAAAGAAAAGAAAAAAAGTTAAAGCCCAGTCATAGGACTTTGTCAGATCCCCCTCAATCTCCTAATCACTTAGCTCCTTCTGTTCCATTGGGTAAAGAAACCCCCCATTAGAATTCACTGGCTTCACACAGCTGCCTGATTTTTATGAATTACATTTTGCATAGTGGTACATAACAAACAGCAGAAAACGATATCTGTTCTCCATTAGAAATGACCCCCCCCTTAGTGTTCAATGTTCCCTACAGAGTTAGTGAATGCTGCTCAAAACTAATTAGACAAGAGCACCAGCCAATGCAAGGGATGCGTTCATCACTTCATCTCCCTCTTACTTCAAAAGGCCTTGCAGGCGCACTTCATCAATCTTCTTATCATACCACTTACCTTAGATTTGTATTTTTCCTTAATCTGGGGCCAGACAGAATCTTGGAAAGTGCTGACATCCACTGACTGCGAGCTTGAAAGGAGATCCTGAGAACGGGAAAACCAAGAAGCAGAATGAACCCTTCTAATGAACGGAAATTGGATTGGTGGATAAAAAGGTTACTGCACATCATTTGTGTTGATGCCAGGCAGAGGATAGACAATTTTACAGGAACTGTTAAAAAACCCACATCCAACTTTCAAATGCTTACTACATTTTTGTGACTATTTTCACAGATTTGTCCTTACCATGTATTCAATGTAAGGCAGCTGCCATATTCATAGAGCCACAAGTAGGGTCAGTTGTGGACTTAATTTGTCAAACTCACAGGACAGTAAACCGTGCATTGTTCTTGTGGACACATGCCACCTTTACTCTCATGATTTCACAGTTCCTGAACAGTACTTTACCTGAAACTGGAGGCAGACAAGTATACACATTGCACTACATCAGCTTCCCTCACACTTTTTACCCCATTGGAAACCTTGCAATAAATTTCAGGTCTCGGGGAACCCCTGCTTAGATTAGTCCATGGGTGTTCAATAGGAAATGCTCATTTCATTGCTAGTGATCATTGGGAAGAATGCGCTCTCACAGCGGTGGTCAGAATGCCACCCTTACAGTCATTGTCCTGGCTCTTACAAGTTATATTGGCCCTAGAACTATTCAGGCACCATCACGAGTGGTCAGTTAATCATAGCTTAGGGAGCCCCTAGCTAAACCTTGGAGGAACCCTAGGGACACCACGGAACCCTGGTTGAGAACAGCTGCAGTACTAGGCTATAGTAAAGGAACACCCCTCTAATCACATTTTGTTGCTTTTCAGCCTGAAATGACACAGTGTTTGTTTTATCCAACTGTATTTACTCAGTGCAAAGCACTGTCAAAAGATCTTTGGGATAAAGTTGTGGACAGACACAAGTCAGGAGATGGATATTAAAAAATTTCAAAAGCTTTATCAATGGCTAAAAGCACAGTGAAGTCTATTATGAAGAAGTGGAAGGGATGTGGTACAACACAGACCCTGCCTAGATCAGGACATCGCTCCAAACTGCAGGAAAAAGCCAGGAAGAAACTGGTCAGAGAGGTTAGTTGCAGGAATTGATGACAAAGAGTGGTCGTTGTGTGCATGTGACAACAATTTTATAACTTCTCCACAATACTGGCTTGTATGGGAGGGTTGCAAGAAAAAATCCATTCTTCAAGAAAGGCCACATACAGTCACGAGTGATCTTTGCCAAAACGCACCTTGAAGATTCTGAGGCCACGTGCAAAAAAGGTGTTATGGTCAGATGAGACTACAATGCAAATCCAACATAGAAGTTACGTCTATATCTGATCATGCTCCTGTCACAATGATACTACGGGTAGGAGGGGAGCGGAATAAAATAACTAAGTGGAGAATAAATGAGATGCTTATACAAGATCCTGAAATGGAGAAATTGTTTGCATCTAATGAGACCGAGGAGGTATCTGTGGCCACAATATGGGAGGCACATAAAGCATATATTAGGGGAATCCTGATATGGATAGGGGCGGAAAAAAAGAAAGACCAGGAGAAAAAAAAAAAATAAAGCTTGTGATGGAGGAGCTCTACAAATAAGAACAGTCACATAAAGAGAAGATGGATATAGACATACATCAGAAGGTAACTCTCAAAAGAGAATAAAAAGACCTAATGGAACAGGAATAGAGGAGGATTTTTAATCGGGTCTCAAAAGAAAGATATCAGTGGGGGAATAAACCAGGAAAATACTTAATGAAGAGACTAAAGGAAAAGAAAACAAAGAATTTTATAGAAAAAAAAAATTAAAGATGGAAAAAGAAAAATGGAGTATTCCACCACTGATATTTCAGTTCTATAAAATGTACAACGACACTAGACAGGGATGCTCACTCTCCCCTTTGTTATTTGTAATATCCCTGGAAAGATAAGAAAGAGTGTAGATAGGACAGGAATTAAGTAGAGCATAAGGTGGCAGCGTAAGCAGATGATATGTTGTTCTATATTGTAAATCCCAGATTAACGTTGCCTAATTTAATGAGATTATTAAAACATTATGGAGAGTTATCAAATCTGAAAGAAAAAAAAAAAAACCCTCAAAGTTAGAGATATTGAATATCAATGTCTCAAAAGGTAGAGAAGCAGACCCTACAAAAAGATTTTCCATTTACATGGAGGGAAAGGGAATTAGGTCATCTAGGAATAAAGTTAACGCCTTCAATAAAAGGCCTGTACAAAGCAAATTATATCCCACTAAGGAAATAAAAGATGAGTTGGGGAGACTTTTAAAGGGAGGGACCTCTTGGATAGGTCGTATAAACTTGATAAAGATGGCGATAGTACCAAAAATCTTGTATAAGTTTCATATGCTCCCAGTACATATACCAGGGTCTTTCTTTGGGATAATAAAGAGGATGATACTTAGGATTATATGGGCAAATAGGAAACTGAGAATTAAGTATGAGGTATTGTGTAGGAATAAAGGGAATGGGGGATTAAACCTTCCTAATTTTAGGAAATTTTATTTTTTGGTGATATTAATCATGAATTGTAGATTGGACATATAATTCACAAGGGAAATGCTGGGTAAAACATGGAAGGGAGTTTGAGTAAGGCACAATTAGAGAAGATTATTTGGATACCATATAACTTTCATATAATGGATGGAAATACTAGTTCTTTGACAAGGAAAGTTTTAAGATACAATACACAAGCAAAAGGATTGAAATATAAATTCAATATTAATTCCTCTAGTGGGAACGGAATATTTCCCTCCAGGGAAGGATAAAAGTTCCAGGAATTGGATTAAAGATAGAAATGCACGTTTGAACGATATAGTGGATAAGGGGAAATTGTAAACTTTCAAAGACTTAAAGAGGAAAAAAAATATTTATTTTTCACATTAGAGGAGTGGCAGTATTGACAATTTGTTACAGCGCTCCACAACCACTGAGGATGCTGGAGGATTTGTATCCATTTGAAAAACTGTTGAGCTTAAAAATGGTTCAAAAACATGCTACCTCCAGGATTTTTAAGATCCTTATTGATATGGAGGGATCTGATCCTTCTTAGAGAAATGGGAAAAGGAGCTGGGAACAGGATTGAATGAGCAACAAAAGAATAAAATATTTAAATGAACACACAAGGTGATAAATATTAGCACAGTTGAAATGAACTATAAAATGTTTGGCGAGATGGTATATTACACCGAGCGTGGCACATAAACGATTAGATGTCTCACCTCTATGTTGGAGCGGGTGTGGGAATAAGGGAACAATGGCACATATATGGTAAGAATGTCCCAAAATACAGAAGTATTGGCAGAAAATAATCCAATATATCTAGGAGATACTAGGGATCACCATACAGAAGGACCCGTGGGTATGTTTATTTCATAATTCTGAGATTTCAGTGAAACTATATAAAAATAGTCAAATAAAACCTTCTTCGCGTCTGTGAATCTTCAAATATTATTCAGAATTCATACTTCCACTTGAGCCATCTCCAAAAATATCACTCTAAGTATCCACATGTGCCTCAAAAAAACAAAAAAAAAAAACTGTATAGAGTGCATTATCCCTATTGCATAAACATCAAATAAAGCTCAAAATCTAAATCTCAGTGTATATTGTGTTCCAGATACTTAAAAGAGTGATATTTTTGGAGATGGATCAAATGGAATTATGAATTCTGAATAATATTTGAAGATTCACAGATGCCAAGGTTTGATTTGACTTTGGACTTTCTGGGGAAAAATTGTGACTTTTTTGTGTCTAGGTATGGGGTAGGCAATCTGCAGCTCTCCAGCTGTTGTGGATCTACATTTACCATGAGGTATTGCAACATTACAAAACTGACAGTTACAGCTATGACTTGCAGAGGCATGATGGAACTTGTAGTCCTGCAAAAGCTGAAGAGCCGCAGGTTACCTACCCCTGGTCTAGGGTGTTACATATATAATTTTGTGGATATACCGATTTTTGTTATTCATATATACAAATAGCGTATTATATCATCTAATTAGTGCGGCTAAGGGTCTTATTCCCAAGTTCTAGCAAGTACCGGAGCCCCCAAAAATAAAAGATTGGATAAATAGAGTTGAATATATAAACAGGATGAAAGAGTTATGCCATATGGAGGAGAATAAAATGGAAAGATTTAGGAAACTGTGGAGTAGATGGCTTGACTTTAAATTATCCAAAAGCTATTTGGAAGTGGTAGGAGTAGAAGGTGAAAATCTTAGAGAGTGTATGATCGAGTAGCTGTGGGGGTTGAGTGAAGGAAAGAGAGTAGAGGTATGATAGAAGGAACATAGATATAGACAGAAACATAATTTAGAAGTAAAAAATATGGTATATGGACAGGGGTAATTGAACTGGGAGGGTGGAGGGATGGTGGGAGGGGAAGGGAATAGGTTAATGTATGTGGAAATTTGTGTATTTGATATGTATTGGAATAAATGATTTTTTTTGTAATAGAAACATTTACTAAAAGATGTAATTTAAAAAAAAAAAAAAATGTGACTACAATTGAATGATCTGGCCTCAACAACAAATGATATGTCTGGCGGAAATCCAATACAACTCACCATCCAAATGACACCATTCCTATAGCAAAGCATGGAGGTGGTAATATCCTGTTATGGGAGGGGGGTTGGGGTTCTGCAGCAGGAACTGGAGCACTTGTCAGGATAAAAGGAAAAATGAATGGGGCCAAATACAGTCAAACTTTTGAGGAAAATCTACTGCCCTCTGCCAGAAGGTTGGCCTTCCAACATGACAATGACCCAAAGCACACAGCAAACATGAGCACAGAGTGGTTGAAGGAGATGAAGGTGAATGTCCTTGTATGCAAATCTGTGGAATGACTGGAAGACTGCACAAACGGTCACCATCAAATTTAACTGAACTTGATCAGATCTGCAAAGAAGAATGGGCAAATATTGCAAAGTCTAGATGTGCAAAGTTAGTAGAGACATATCCCAACAGACTGAAGGCTGGAATTAAAGCAAAAGGTGGTTCAACAAAATACTGACACAAGGCG